ATAAATTTATACTTGTAAAGGATTTACCGATTATTAATAAAGAAGTTATTTTTATCATTTTTTGTACTTGTAATTTATGTCATTTCATTTCAAGTTATTAATTAAATTTATGACATTTTTTATAATAATTTATGATTTATGGTTTTGTTAAAATTTAACAAAAAAAAAATTATAAAAAAAACAAAACGGGCCAGCCCGGTGTCCGGCCTGCTCAGGCCCGGGCCCGGGTCCGGGCTTGGGTTTTGCCCGGCCCGGGCCCGGTTTCCCGGGCCGGCCCGGATGGACAGTCCTAGATCTCTCCAATTATTAATTCTACTCTTGATTTAAGGGATTAATTTTAAAGTAACTTATGAATCGGGAGAGCGAAAAGCAAGTTTAATGCTTTGAGGGGCTAATTTTGAAATAATTTAAGAATTGAGGGACGGAATCATTGTTGCAATAGTTTAAAGGATGACTTGAAGGACTAGTGCAGAGGAAGGCCTTTGGTTCTCAAATAGTGATTGCATTTTCCTTGAACTCTAAAACATATTTAGAGGGGGAAAAAAATAAAGAAATTTAAACTCAGTAGATAAAGCACAATGATCCAAAAGAAGATCCAATTTCTTTCTTACTCAAGACTATATATAAGAAAAAAGGATAAAAAAAATTGGCAGCTAAGGCTTGAATAATCCGTCGACAGCAGGGTTCGAACCTGCGCGGGCGAAGCCCAACAGATTTCAAGTCTGTCTCCTTAACCACTCGGACATATCGACGCTTTGTTGCTCAGTAATTCGTTCCTATTAGATCAAGAGGAAGTGAAAGAGGATAGTCGTGTCTTTTCTTCCCCCAAAGAAGAGATATAAAGCAGGGTTAATTGCAGAAAAAACCCCGATATTATCACCCAATCACAAAGGTTCCCCATTTAGTTCTACTTTGTTGCGAATAGAACCCTTGAGTGAATTTTTTTTTTAACTCTTAAAATCGTTAAAAATGTTCAAGGAGGCGTATAGACCCCTTTTAGTTCTATTGATGAGGATATATACCCAGCTGCTTTTTCTTTTTTGGACATTTAAAATTGTCGAAAAATTCACTAAGGGGCATCATTTACACTTGGGCCAATACTACAAGGGGTCTATTCGCAACAAATAGAACTACAATGGGTCCCTCTGCAATTGGGTGATACTACGGGGGTCTATTGACAGTTAACCCTAGAAAGCAATGATGCACACAAATTAAGGAGTTAAAATAAGGTCAAAATTTTTTTTAAGGAGAAATTTTTAAAACAGCTCTTTTTTCAATTTTATTGGGCAAAATCGACCGTCTCACAAATTAATTAGCAAAACCGACAGAAAAGTGTCGTTTTTGCAATTACGGAACTGCACGGGACTAGCAGTCCCGTGCAGTCCGCCTAACCCACCAGCTCGTCATTCTTTCGTTCTGTCTTTCGTTCATTCCGCTCGTGACCACTCTCCCCCGAAGAAAAAAAAAACCCTCGACTCGTCGACCCCCGCCGCCGACCACCGCCGCCGACCACCGCCATTTGCACGTGACCATCCGCCGCTCTCGTGACCGATCACCGCCGCCGACCACCGCCATTTGCACGGGCTAGGGTTTTTTTCGTTCATTCCTCTCGTGACCAGTCCGCCGCTCTCGTGACAGCCCTCCGACCTCGTCGCGCCGCCGACACCATCGACCCCCACCTTTATTTTGTGCAATAGGATGAATAATGTGGTTTGGGGGTTAGGGTTTAGCAATTATTTACAAATGATGAATAATAATTAAGGGTGTAGCCATTATTTGAGATTGATTAAGGTAATAAATTTGATGTTGATTTATTCAGATATTAATAGATTATTTGCATATGATGGACTGTGTATTTTCAGTTTCGATGACGAACTCCATATCCATTATTTGTTTCTTTAATGGGAGCCTCGGCGTCGGAGTGAATAATTTGCCGGTGTATGATGGAGGTTCTCGGAAAATGTTCATGCTATCTAAGTCGTGTAATTTTGATGGAATGACTAGGGAAATACACAGAGTTACTAAAATTAAGAAAGAAGAATATACAATTAGGGTGTTCTTCAACTGTCCGATAAATGAGAGTAGAACTATTGCCGTGGAGATTACCGAAGATGAGGAATTGAATGACATGAAACAATTAGTCGAGAAGCAAGCGTCAATTGAGTTGTTTATTGAGAAGTATCCGATTCAGGAATTTGCCCAAGTTTCACGACCTCAAGGAGAGTTTTCTCGGATGCTTGACTTAGACAACGAGTCGATTGGTTTTATGACATCTCCAAGTCAAGAGCCATGTTCTCAACCACAACATTTAAGTGGTACTCGGTCTCCGTATAGATGGTCTGTGCATTACCGGCACTGATAGTGATGTATGGCCTCGAAGATGTGAGGAGTTGTTAGGTGTAGCTCCAGAGACTATGCCTCGAGGAACTATTAAGTTGAAGTGGTTGAGAGAGACCTTCTCAGTACCGTTGCCTGTTGATGCCCCACAAATTTTGGTTGACCAACATGCACGTGCATACATTATGCACATGATTGGTACTATATTATTTCCAGATTCAAGTAAAGATAAAGTGCATGCGAGGTATGTGTATTTATAATATGAATCTGTATTTCATTGAATTAGCTTATTTTAATAAATTGGAATATTGTGAATATGCTAGGTGGTTACCACTCCTCGAGGACTTGGACGTATGTGGTACAAAATCGTGGGGTAGTGCCGTTTTGGCGTATTTATATAGAGAGATGTCAAAAGTGGCACTTATGCAAAACAGTGAGCTTAAAGGGTGTCTAAGCTTATTGCAAGTATGGGCATGGGAGAGACTTCATTTGAAGCCAAGACTATGCACGCATTTACAATTAGATGGACAAATTCCACTGGGATGCAGGTATTGTATTTTTAGTGTAGCGAATATAATTGTAGTTATCATTGTGGTACTAAATGTATGACAAACATTTTTTTGTAGATGGAATGTCGAAAAATGCTATGACGAGACCCCGGCTAGACAATTGGATTTCTATCGGAATGAGCTTGACCGTATGAAGATTTTTCAGGTAATTCTCACCGAAAAACATGCGTTTTTTCTTCTACATACTGAAAACCCAATTCTGATATGCAACTGCATTAAATTATTGTAGATGGAATGGGAGCCCTACACCCAATTTCTACCTCAGCTACCCCCAATATGCACAGAATACCAAGTTGTATGGAGAGCTAGAGTTCCTCTTATATGTTTGGAGATAGTAGAAATGCATGTACCGGACCGCGTGCTTCGACAATATGGTCTTGCACAACATGTTCCGCAGTTTGTTGAAAAGATAGAGAGGAAGGCAAAGAAAGGAGGCCAACAAATAAACTGGATGATCGTGCATCAAGCTTTTATACACAGATGGAATGATAGGCATTTTTGTATTGTCAACCAAATTGAACCAACTCCTCGGGAATCAGATTACTACACTTGGTATTGGGACATAACCCGAAGATGGATACTTCATTCGACCACAATACCGGTTGAGTCGCAAAGAGGATATGTGCCCCGGGGTATAGATGAGAGAGAATTAGTAAGTATTTTCATATTTTGATTTAAGTCCATTTTTATTGGTACTTTATGTGTTGAAAAATTTGCAGGTATCAGCAATAGATGAAGTTCAAACTCTTGCAAATCGTGGCTTGGAATTGGCTCGAGCAGGTACGATAAAATTAAATCTCAAATTTACATTCTGTAATATCATCAAATTTATGATATTTTGTTTTTGAACTATCTATCGCAGCAGATAGAAATCCCGAAGCACATGAACATGTATCAATATATCAGGCTATAATGCAGAGGCTTCAACAAGCCTTACACCGAACTCACGAAGATCGTCATGATGGACAGGAGGTAACGTCATTCGTATATACACGACAACAGCGACAAAGTCGAGGACGACGCAAAAATGACGATGAAGCTGGACCTTCCCAACGTGTCGACGATGGAGCTGGACCGTCACAACCACAAACGCAACCGGATCACGAACTCGTCGAAGGGCGGTATGGAGGACGACGAAGACAAAGGAGGAGGAGGAGAGTTCTTGGATGTATGTAAACTACAGGTTATATACATTACAAAACTATTTAAGGATGTGATTTTTGGATTTGTAGTCGATAATATCGTGTGATATGTTTGATTTCTAAGTGGGTTTGTGGTGTTATTATGTTGGATTTGTTAGTGGGAGTTTGTGGTGTGATGTGATCAGCAAACGGCTGCCCTCTCTGCTTAAAAGTCGGGACTGCCAGTCCCGACTTTTAAGCAGAGAGCAGCTGCTGGAACACCAAGTGCACGGGACTAGCAGTCCCATGCACTTCGCAAAAGACCCTCCGCTGCAAAACCGACCATTTTCTTCTGAAAAGGTTCGGTTTTGCTAATATTTTTCAGTTTAGGTCGATTTTGCCTATTAATTTTTAAAAATGGTTGGTTTTAAAAATTTCCCCTTTTTTTAATCCACACTCGGATATCTCCTACAAATAGAAATACTTTCAACGATGACGTTGCGTTCCAGAGCACATCAGCAATTACCAAAGCAGTGGTCTACACCCTCACGCTCTATCACCATTTTAAGAACAACAATAATAAACACCAAAGAAATAAATCAAACCAAGAAGAGAGATCTTTAGAAGTAACCAACCACATATTGCGTTGAATCTAGTCATTATACCCTCGTATGAACTGCCTTTTATCTTCTTAAACAATGGCAATCAGAATTATATTCTTCCACTGAATTCTTCGCAATAAACAATAATTAGATATACGAACATGAAGAGAAAGCTGATGAAGAGCTGACTATAACCAGAACAGATGTAAATATAACATCACACATACCATATAACACAAAATAATCTGCTGCCGCCAGTTTTGCTGAAGTAAGATGCAGTCGTCACAACTGCTTCTCTGGACAAAACACTATTTGCCTTTGACATCACTGGAGGTTGACTCTGGCAACAACCAACTTAATACTATCTTGTGTACCAACCTTTAAATGAACACTAAATATAAAGCATGTATAGAAGTCACCACAAAATGCAGTCCTACTGCTTAGTACTTGCATCCAGACTACAAGTTTCCTTGCTACATACATCCATAACACAGTCATAATACATTTATCTAAAACGAAGTCTTACATAGTACCATTCACACTTCACATGATTCTACCATGTCATCTTCATCATTATCAACATTTACAGAGTCAACCCGGTCTTATGTTCCTTCTCTCTGTTCAGCACCCATGCCATCCTCATCCGTCACAATCTCATCGCTAGTATGTAAACCAAATTTGGATACATGCGCATTCATCCAAGCTACTTGTGAGGGAATAGGCCTGGCAATAAATAACCTGGCTTGACGCTCATCTTCATATAATGTTTCAAAGGCATGGTCCAACACATGCTGTGGAAATTGTGTAAGCGCATACACTTTATCAGATAATCTTTCACTCCAATGCTTGAGATGCGCATTTTGTATAGCGAACGCCATCTCTCCCACTTTCTCAACCATCTTCTCCATAATTTTCATATTAGAATCCATATGAGCACGCTCAGTCCTACGCACCCTCGGTCGTGCATGACTTGTATCGAGACTAGTCCCATGAGTCATTTGGCTCTTCTTAAACTTAGGTGTCTCCCTGATGGGTTCACTTGGGCTGGTTTCTTGATTATTTGGGGCATCCTCCTTGTGCTCATCACTATCAATGTTGATGGTTTGAGCTGGAATGCCGCCAAATTTGTTGTACACTCCCTTCCTAAATTCCCCGGTGGCAAAAGCATCTCCAATTATAACACTGAGATCATCAAAATGCTTCAACGGTTTGTTAACATAATCCTTAAGATTTGGATTGACCTGTACAGGGGTATAAATGAATCACAACAATTCCTTGATTGCAAGAACTACAACAAAAAGTTATGTGGAATTAGATTATTACCTTATCCCAGTTTTCACAAGGAAATTGATCTAATTTAATCATCTTGGACTCTTCGTCCCAACTTGCTCCACTGATCTTCAAACACTCACACATGTACACGTATCGTCTTTTAAGAGACTTCATGTGATTGTAGACATTTTCAGTCGTGAAGTTCTCACCAAAATGACTATTCAAAGCATCTGTTGCTTGAGAGAATGCCTCTTTCTTAAAAGACTTGTCACATTTGTAACCCTTCTTGGCTAGATCCGCAAGAAAAGGAATAAGGACATCGTCATGCTTATCCTGCCACATCTTGTTGGGTGCATTTCTACTCTCTCCAGATCTTTTGCTTTTATTACTGCCTTCCTTTTTGGTCCTCTTTGAAGAAGAACTAATCTCTTCTACTTCGCGTCCACGAATATATTTTTGGGAGCTCCCATTGCCATCACCATGAGAAGGGAGTTGGGTGCCACTACTCTGAGAAGTTTGTGCTAGTATTGGTGGTATGGTGGCTCCAGGAATTGCTTGAGAAGTTTGTGCTAGCATTGGCGGTAAGGCGGCTCCTGGAATTGCTTGTTGCAAAAACACAGGTTGAAAAAACACAGGCTGATATTTTAGAGACCTGGATGATTGGCCTGCAACATCACTTGGAGACATAGGTTGAGCCCATGCCACCGGGGAAACTTTACCACCAGTTACTTCTTGGATCCCCTTACCACCTTGATTATGTGCAACTTCTGGAGGGTCATCCATCTTAACTGTAAAGACAGTATAGACCATAAAGCATGTATAGAATAACAATATAAAAATCAGTACCAAATATTTTCCTAACACATAAAGCAAATATATGCTACAAAAGATGTCTATTACAAACAACCATAAAAACATGGTTGAGTACTAACAAGTTAACAAACAAAACATTTCAATCCATTCCCACTTCTGATGTATCTCCCCAACGATACTTTCCACAATAATCAACCCACATGTCCCATGCAATTTGATCCCTTTTCATCTTCCACTCTTCTCTTGCTTCTACTTGCTCTTGTTGTGTCAGAGTTTCAGAAAAATCGACTACTTCATCATCATCCTCATCCATTATATCCCCCTCCTCATGAATGATACCCATCTCTTCATTTAAGTACTTGTCTACTGGATCTGCAATAGCAATATAGTTGTGGAGTACAGTGCATGCAAGCACAATATCAACTTGACTCGGAAGTGGGTAGTTTGGCCTCGCGGAAAGAATCTTGAATCGATTCTTTAAGATACAAAATGCGGCTTCAATCTCCATACGCAATGCGGAATGACGTAGATTGAATAATTCCTTCCGATTATTTGGCATCCTACTAGAACTCTCCTTTAGATGATAAGGTACACCGCGATAAGGGGAAATGAATCCAGGCATAGTGGTGTAACCGGCATCACATAAATAATACTTTCCTACAACAAAGAATTTTTTTTTCTAAGGCCTACTTCAAAGTATAATATTAAAGAAAATTTTACCAATACCTAGTTATTTTTGAGAACTATAGTTTACCCTCATAAACTCGCAATCCATGTGGGTGTGGCAAAGATAATGCATCCTTTAGGATTCTGAAGTCACTAGCAGAACCCTCCCATCCTGCCATGACATACGTGAAACGTTTGTCTGGTGTAGCAGCAGCGAGCACATTTTGTGTGACTCCTTTCCGACCTCTAAAACGGACAACATATTTAGTTGGCACCATGGCATCAATGTGTATGCCATCTACCAGACCAATACAATCCTACGACCACAAAAATATAGATAAATAAATAAATAAATAAATTCGTTGGTATACAATTAACCATACACTAGACATCTTACCATAAAGAACGGGTAAAAAAGTGTGCTTTCCCTCACTTCTGCAGGGGTCTCACTAGGGGCTTGCTTCATAAACCGATCTCGAAGGCAGCTTATTGCTCCGAGTACTTTGTTGAAATACCTGCTCACCGTCTCTCCGGACCTAATAAAGTCTGTGCTCATGACCCTATTCTTCGACTTGTTACCCACAATATGCAGAAACATAGCCAATTGCTCCTCAACAGGGACATGGATCGTATCTTTTAACAAACCTCCATCTCTCATCAACGTCGCTAAGTTTAGGAAAGGACCCCTACGCATTCTAAGATGCTCCAGACAACTATTAGCATCGCCACTCAAGATACGATACATATGAACGTTCCTATTCAAATCCCTCATTTGGGACGGCTCGCGAGGAACATTATTATAATCCCTACGCGCATCCTCGAGCATTTGACGTAGCATTACTACAATCCCTATCAAGACTGCAGAAGCAGCGCTACAGCACATCCTCAGCATAATTATCTCTTCTTCCGAAGATTCCATCTAATAAGGTTTTAAACAATTTTTTTTTAAAAAACAACAACCACGATTAATGAATCCAGTCAATGCTGCAAATTTCCTAACCGAAAAACTTTCACAAAGGAGCCATCTTTTGCGTTGTTTCAAAAACTACACACGTTTAATCGGCGATAGAAAGGTTTAATAAAATGCAGAAAAAGGAGGAGGGACAAAAATTATTACCCTGTGAAGCTTGCGGATCACTATGATCGACAGTCTTCAGACTCCTCTGAAATTTAATTCAGAAAGATCAAGAGAAAAGATCTCCAGAAAAGATCAAGAAAATACACACAAAAATATTACTCCAATAAAATCATTAAAAAAAAAAGACGGTGGCTGCTCACCTCTCGTCTCCGTCGCGAAGAGGGGAGAGATCCTCGCGGGGAGCAAAATCGAGTGAAAGAGAAGCCCTAACCATCATTTAGCGTATAAATTGGGAGGCCCATTTTCGTTAGGCCGGTTACGATCTTTGTCAGGCTAGTTTCCGGCCCGTTCATCAAATTGAACAGGTCGAATTAGCAAACAGGGGCTGTTTGTTTCTGTTCATTTTGTATCACATTGGAATAAAAATAAAAACAAAGGGACCCACGAGTTAGAAATTGTGAATTTTTAGCGAACATGTTACCTACTTATTTATTTATTTATTTATTTTTATACATGGATTTGAGATTGACACACATGGTAAATATAACAAGTATAATTTTTAAAAATTATGCTAGATTTCAATTTGTGAATTTAGTCGCGTATTCTTAACAAAATTCGTGCGCAACCAAACAAAATTTTGACTGGATTTTGTCCCTCATAAATATGCTCTTTAACATCCATCACAAATAAACAAGATTTTAATTATGAGTTTTTCAAAATTAAATACATAAACCAAGATTAGTCTACAAACCAAACAGCCCCTTAGAAATCGGACTTATTTCGTGATGGGATTTGTAAAACTTTAGCTGGGTTGGTTCTTCACGTAATAAACGCACGAGAAAAGATAAAGGAATATTTGAAGCGGAGCAAAGACCAAACAAGATATTTTGCATTGCATGGTCTGTATCAACGCTCGTTGGACTATTTAGGTTTTCCCGTAAAATCATACTAAAAATATTGAATGTGTCACATCATTAGCATACCAATTAAGAAATTCAATTTTTCACGATCAAAATAGACGTATTTTAGCAAAATAGGATTTTTTTTTTTTAGAATTTATTGTATATGAAATTTCCGAGGTGTCCTCGCTATGAAATTTTTAACAAGACGAGTGATCAAATTGCAATGACTGAGTTTGATATCAAATGATACTATTACTACCGAATACCAGAGCATGTAACATTCTTCTGAGACTACCTAAAGCAGCTTAGTTGAAAAAAACACACACATTTTGTCATCTTATTGCTAATTATATACATGAGAAAATTGTTAGAAATTTTATGGGGATTAATCTACAGAATTAAACACTAAACGAATAACTGCACCAATGAAAATACCACAAGCAATCAAACACCAAGATTTAACGTGGTTCGGAAAATCGTGCCTACGTCCACGGGGTAATCCAGAGAGAAATATTTCACTATGAATCAAGAGTACAATCACTCCAAGCTACACCTGAATTTGAGAATTAAATCACAAGAGAAAGATACAGTGTTACCTCTAGGACATCAAAACCCTAACCTGTCTTATCAAAAATCTCTAACTCCCACGAAGAAACCAACATCGTACCCTCGACAGCGTCGTCGTTTTGAAGACAACGGATTTTAAATCACTGTAATCGGACACCCGAGCTATCTGGAATCTGAACTTTTCTCTTTCTCTTTTCTCTTTTTCTATCTTGGTACTGTAGCACCGGGTTACTGTATATATATATATATAAAATTCTCCAAATCTATTCATATTTCAAATAGATCATCCAAATCCATTTCTAAATAGAATTTTAATTCATGTGGACCTCATATGGGCATTATCTTGTGCTGGACCCACAACAATCTCCCCCTCCAGCCCAACGAGGGGGTATGCCAAACTATAACACCTCAACGGGAATTCATGCCGGTCAATTGCCGGCACAACTCGGTCTTCTCTCTGAAAATAATCTTCGTTAAAAAATATGCTGGATTTTTATCTGTGTGAATCTTCTATAGCTTTAGCTCCTCTTTCTCAATTGCTTCTCTAAGCCAATGATATCTCACATCAATATGTTTCGTCCTGGAGGGGAATGTAGAATTTTTGCTCAAATTAAGAGCACTTTGACTATCAATGAAGATTTGATAATTGTCCTGTTGCAAGCCTAACTCCTGCAGAAATCTTCTCAACCAAATCATCTCTTTACCGGCTTATGCAAGTGCAATATATTTTGCCTCTATTGTAGATAAAACAACACACTTCTATAACCTAGACTGCCAAGATATTGCTCCCTCTGTAAAAGTGAACAACCAATCTGAGATAGACTTCCTGTGATCGAGATCACCTGCCATATCAGCATCTGTAAAACCATATAATATTACATTCGAACCTTCAAAACTCAAACACAATATGGAACTGCCTTTCAAATATTTTAAGATTCACTTTACACATTCCCAATGAATATTTTTAGATCCACTTTACACCTTCCCAATGAACTTTCCCTAGATTAGGAAGAAACCTGCTCACAACGCCAACTGCATGAGCTATATCTGGCAGAGTACAAACCATGGCATACATCAAACTCCCTACAGCTGAAGATTAAGGAATATTTTTCATCTCACTCTTTTCCTCATCTGTAGTTGCGCAAAACTTTTTTCCAAGCTTCAAATAACCTGCAAGAGGAGTATTGACCGACTTGGCATCTTTTATGTTGAATCTATCAAGTAGCCGTTCAACATATTTCTCCTGTGGTAACCATAACTTCCTCATTTTCTTGTCACGAGCAATATCCATACCAAAAATCTGCTGTGCCGAGCTCAAAAACCCTTCATATCAAAAGATTTAAATAACACATTCTTTAGCCCACTGATTATCTGACTATCCTGACCAACAATCAATATATCGTTCAACAAAAGGATAATGAAGCTAGAATTTAAAATTCTCTTGAAATATATACATGAATCTGCAACTGTCATCTAGTAGCCATGACTCAACATGAAAGAATCAAAATTTTTTTGTAACACTATCTAGGTGTCTGCCATCTGTCATCTAGTAGCCATGAGCTCAAAAATCCTTCATATCAAAAGATTTAAATAACACATTCTTCAGCCCACTGATTATCTGACTATCCTGACCAACAATCAATATATCGTTCAACAAAAGGATAATGAAGCTAGAATTTAAAATTCTCTTGAAATATATACATGAATCTGCAACTGTCATCTAGTAGCCATGAGCTCAAAAATCCTTCACGTCAAAAGATTTAAATAACACATTCTTCAGCCCACTGATTATCTGACTATCCTGACCAACAATGAATATATCGTTCAACAAAAGGATAATGAGGCTAGAATTTAAAATTCTCTTGAAATATATACATGAATCTGTAACTGTCATCTAGTAGCCATGACTCAACATGAAAGAATTAAAATTTTTTTGTAACACTATCCAGGTGTCTGCTTCAAACTATAGAGACTCTTCTTCAACCTGCAAACCATGTGTTCTTTTCCCTTCACTTTAAAACCCTCTGGTTGCTTCATATAGATCTTCTCCTCCAAATCACCATGAAGGAATGCGGTCTTCACATCAAGTTGCTCAATCTTGAGGTCTAAACTAGCTGCTAACCCAAAGATAACTCTAATGGACATCATCTTCACAACCAGTGAAAAAATCTCATCAAAATCAATGTCCTTTTTCTGACCAAAGCCTTTCACCACTAATCTGGCTTTGTATTTCTGAATCTCTTTGTATCCATCATTCTTTAACTTGGACACCCACTTGTTCTTCAAAGCTTTTCTGTCCTTCGGTAAATCCACTAACTCATAAGTATCATTCTTCTCAAGAGACTTCATCTCTTCCTTCATAGCCTGAAACCATTTGTAATTGTCTTTATGAGTATGTGCCTCTTGAAAGCTTTCTGGCTCCCTGATGTAGGACGCTTAACTGACAATTTCATGGAGGATGCAGACAATTACAAGCTAAATACGAATTTATACGTATTATTGACTTCCGCAAAGAAACAATCATATCTTCCAACCCAAAAGACAGATTCTGACATATTATATATATAAATCGTCTATCTCGATGAGACGGAGCCAACTACATTGTCAGATTTTTAAAATCACATCAGTAATACCCGATTTTGGCTAAAATCCAAAAATAATTAGCTTTTAGTTTATTTTTAGTAATAAAGTTGGAGTCTATTTAGATTAGGAAATTAATTCAATTTTAGAGTCAAATTAGATTAGGAAATAAATTTAATTTTGTTTCAAGATTTGTTTCCTCTATTATTGGAAGTCTTTTTAGGATAGAATTGATACTTTTTATTTCTTTGTAATTCAAGTTTTACTAGGAGTCTTATTTGTTTTTTTATTTAAGAAGAGTCATGTAACCCCAAAGAAGAATACTATCTTTTCATCAATAAAATTACTCTTTCAATATTTCTTCGTGGATTCGAAGTTCTTCGTGGATTCGGAGATCGTTCTTTGTGGATTTAGAGAACACCTTTGGTGGATTTCGAGGCTACTACTTCCGCGCTGCGTCAATTGGTATAAGAGCCTTATTCCTCCGATCCGATGGCAGATGATGAAGCCCCTATTTCTCGAACTAAATTCGACGTGCTGAAAACCGGTGTTAATCAGATGAAGACTACCGTAGAGCGACTTGCGTCGGCAGTGGATCGTCTGAACACGAGAGGATTTTGAAATCACGTTGATGGTCGCCAGCGACGTGATTCGACTCCACATGATAAATTCAACAACGACAATGACCCTAAGCAAGACCTTAGAGTTGGAAAGAGTACTAAAGAAGCAATAAAGAAAGAAGAATCACCTCCAGAGCATAATATCTTCCGCACGAGGTGCACTGTGATGTAGAAGATTTGTGATGTTATTATGACAATCACAGTAGAAATAATATTGTCTCTCGACATATGGTGAATAAGTTAGGTTTGAAGATAGAGAAACACCCACATCTCTACAAGATCGACTGGATTCACAAGGACAATGATGTGCAGAACAATGAGATGTGTCGTGTACCTTTGTCTATCGATCACATGTATTTTGATGATGTGTTGTGTGATGTGGTCGAGATGGATACTTGTCATATGCTTTTAGGTAGGTCATGGCAATTCGATATTGGAGCTACTCACAGAAGTAGAGACAATGTTTATATCTTCAAGAAAGATGGACGTCGAATTGTACTTCTGCCTCTTACAGAAAAGGAGCCATCTAAGATAAAAGCTACTAAGGAAAAGAAAACTTTGGTGGCAAACAACGAGGCTTTAGCTAAAAACTTGAAGCAATCTGAAGAGGTTTATGACTTGGTTGTAATTAAAAAAGAAGAACATGCCCCTACCGAACTTCCTCCTAAGGTGCAAACAATCGTTATGCATGTGATTCATTATGG